AACATTGAGTCCTATTTATGATGATGTTGATGAAGGTTATTCAATATTATGAGTGCTTTACATTTGTAGGTTAGGAATATTGGGTTCGATTATTGATTTACTAGTTGTTAGCTTGATAAATATGGATAATTCCATTCTAACCATTTTGTTGAGGAAAGGAACTTTGTACAAGGTAATAACCCATCTATTTTATCTTGGCCTGCCTTTGTGAGTTGAACCATGAAGATTTAAGACTTTGATTTATTTAGTTGATCTTGCTAATAAGCTGTAAATATTGCAGAAATTGCTATTATTTTTACTTTGATTTGAATGTCCATCCAAGTTTTGGCAATGGAGGGGATCACTCATTAAATGAAGTCTGTAGGTATGACAAATAGAGATGTCTTAGGGTTACAACCTGCACTCCAGGGCAAAAAAAAATTACTAGCAATGTTTCTAACTTTATGGCAATCCCATGAGTCAATGAACCAATGAAGTAGTACCTAGCTGTTTATTGATTATTGTAATATCTGGAATTCGCTTGTCACTGTCATCATATCCTTCACCATAGAACTCTTTAGAGCTTACATCAATGGTGGGTACCTCCAAAGGAGGCTGTCCACTTACTTTGGAGTAAACCTGGAGAGAACAAGTAGATTATTTTTTATTTAGCAGGAGAGTTGTACAAAACTAATGCACATGAAAATTAGAGAGAGAGAGAGAGAGGAGAAACAGAAATGTAAAATAGCTTCTTTAAGTACCTCTGTCATCAACTCTACAAGTTGCTTCACTGTAATTTCATTGTTAGGGTTAGCCACATTGAAAATTTGACCGTTGGCTAATCAAACTTTCAGATGCCAATTTACGATAGAAATAGCTCTCTCTCAAAAAAAAAAAAGAACAAAAACCAAATGCACACGAGTATAGAGAGATGCTTCTGCATACAGTTAATATGAATTTTGTTGGTGTGCATGTATATAGCCATCTACATATTCATATACCATCATCATCATCTAAGCCTTGTACCAGCTATATATATATATATATATATGTCGTATATGTTTACATGTCTATAATTAATGATAATATGCAAGCTCAGATAAGCTTATAAAGTTATAAACCTTCATTTACCCACTTGTGGAAATGCTGTCAATGGAAACTTTCACATATATGTTTATATGTATACATAACTATAGGCACACTTATATCTTCTTTTCTTCATTTTCCACCATTGTTTTCAATTTGAAATTTCTATGCAAATTTTTTTTCCATTTCCTTATATTTTTTCCATTGACAGTTGACAGAGCCAAAGTTGACAAGGAAGAAGGTATGAATCCTGTTGCTAAATTAATATAATTATTTTTTTAAATCTGCCTTTAGTCTGATACATATTCTTTTTAACAGAGGAAGCAATTCAGAGATCTAAAGCTTTGGAGCAAAATGATATTGAAGCTCTAAGGCTTTGTCATTTTTATCCTTTTGTCTATTTATTCTTGGATATTTATTTAATTGGTCTGTCAGTGTTCTTTATTGAAAATGTTATTAAGATCTTATTGAAAATGTTGTTTACAACATTGCCTTACTCCCTAACATTTATGCTCAATCTCAGGGATGATATTGAGGATGAGCAGTATCTTTTTTATGGTGTTAAGCTGACTGAAGCAGAATATCGTGAACTAAGGTAATTAGGTATGCATCATCTTCTCTGCATGCATTACTTCACAGGGTTAAGAAAACAACTAAGGCATTTGTCTAAGAATGATTGCAATGCCCATGATATGGCTTTGGTAATCCTGCAGATGCACCTCTCTCTTCCTAAAACACACATGCACACACACAAAGATTCAAGCAAAATGTGTTTGATATTGATCCATCGGGTTTGAAGTGAAACTTCTCATATGCAAAAGACAGTTACCTAATCATTTTGGGTGCTGCATTGATAAATTGATTTAAGAAGTGGAAAGAATCATATGGCTGTCATGGTCTTCTCTCATAGTGTAAAATTTTCAGTTGCTATATTATGGAGGAATATCAAGCTGGATTGAGTTATTTAATTTTTAGGGTCTGCAGATACAAGAAACAAATTTATGAGCTTGCAAAGAAGCATTCTGAAGATGTGGATGATATCAGTGAGGTAGTCAATTATTGTTTATATTATATTTGATATAAATAAAAATGTATTTTATTTTCTTTTGACACATTGGCTGGCTGATTTACACCATTAATTAAGAGCTTGCCGATTTTCCTAGTTTATAAAATAGTGAGTGATAACTGGTTAATGCAATCAATGTTGGAATAAGAGTTTTTTTTTTTTTAGTTTGCAAGTGTGAAATTTACTGTTGATTGCCTTTTTTGAAAACCCTGGGTTCCCAGAATTGCTCCAGTACCAAGCTAATGGTTTGTGTGTATGATTTCTTTGAAAACCTTGTTTTCTTTATGTCATTCTGTAATGTGATTCTGATGAAATAATTTATAGGAAAGTCTGTTCTAAGAGACTGAGGCTGAAATCAATCAACAAATAGAACCCCTCTAGAGGTAACTCTTCATACTTTGTCTAAGAGACTGATGTTATTCCACTCTAGATTGGAATTCAGGCCCAAACCAGTTATTGGAACTAAACTAACACGGGAAACATGCCATATGGATCCTTTTCATGGATTAATAGGCCACCTGAAAGCTCATTATGCAGAATGATTTTCTGTTGCTGATATGAGTTCAACAATCATCTACACAACTCAAACTCTTGTATTGTAATTTCAGTGTAGGAACCACTGATATCATTCTCATTCTTTATTTTTTCTTTTTTTTTTTAGTTTGGCAAACTGCACATGGCCATGGACCTTCTTACCTTTAAACAACGAGAAAATAAGGTGTGGCATCTGAATTCAAGGGAATCAACTTCTCTATGAGTTAAGATAACTGCTACCCTATTGTGTTAAAAGTTAAGCTAACAGCCAAGAGTGCTTCCCGTAGACTAATAACCTATACACATGGCTAAATTCTTACTAGGGAATAGGATTCCAATCCTTGAACCTGAACTCTAGTCAAAACCCAATATCAGTAATTCAATACAGACTAGGATGACTTCCTGAAATCTCAAAGAGGTGAAATGGGCCAGTGTGAAGTGGAAGTCTCCCTTATGTGGATTAATCCTGGACTGAGAAGATAAGAACCAAAGTTGAGATCTTAAGAATCAATTAGACAAGTCAGATGGTGTCCTGTAGGCCATGACCTAATAGACTCAATCCAAAGCCTAGCACTACATTAAAAACTTGTTGCTTACCCTTTGACAGGTCTGGCCTCTGTGTCATATCATAACCCAGGTCTAAGGTAAATACCTGAACACAAAATTGTTACACTTGACCATGAACTGAAGCGTTAACTTTGGATCAACCCAGGGTTTTAAAAGACATGAGGCAGAGCCAATCAACATGCAACTGTGAGTCCAAATACAAATGATGGTTTAGATTGAATTAAGGGAAATATAAACATACCCTGTTCTTCTGACTTAAATCAGCAACTAATTAAAAGGAAAAACACAGATCAAAAGCACAAGATGTCCAACTAATTAAATTGGCAACTAATATCTCTTCTATTCATGGAAAGAGGAAGCAACAAGATGCCCAACTGACAACCAATAGTCATAAGTGAGTTAGGCAAGCACCAGCTGCTGCTGATGGCTTTCAACCACAGCCAGTAGGACAACTTCCATTAGAAATGATATTTTTTGTAGTTACAGGATGATTTAGAACCCTTTTCATGCCCTAATAGGTAGTATGTTCTTGTCTTTGAATTTAAGACCATGTGCAAGCTTACTTTGCGTCAGGATTATTTGTGAATAAATCACATGGTCTTATCTTTGAATGATCTTAAATTCTCAGGATTACTCCCAAATTCTCAACCTAGAAGATTATAGATTCTCAAGGATCTTAAAGATATCCTTCACAGAAATCAGGAACTAGGATTTTCAGGATACAAATTGAATGCAGGATCAAATGTTTATACCTGACCTACATATAATAAAGATGCAACTGTAAGATTGGGTGATCAAATTATGCATAAAAGAATGAATGAAGAACTTTTTAATTATGCTACCATTAAATTCTGATACGTCATTTATGAGCCAAGTATGGTTTATTTGTTTGTTGGCTTGAAATTGAAGAGAACGCAATCAAAGTGGTTTTATAAGTTGAGTATTTGTATCCAATCCATTTTTTTTTCAATCTGTTAATCATTGGATTTTTTTTTTTTTTGTTCTTAGAAAGATGATGAAAGGCAATTGGACAGACAGGCCCAATGCAGATTTCTGAATTCCACTGCAGAGCTATAAACGTTCAAAATGTTGAAAACCCCCCACTCTATACTCCAATGCCCGCCCATGAATTGGCATCAATTCCGAGCTGGCACCCACCCAAACTGTATTTTGGGCCTAGAAATTCTGACCCTGGGCTGAACCGTCATTCTCCCTTTTTTTATTGTTTAATTCAATCATAATAGAATATTGAGATTATTTTTCTTTCTTAGACTACTTTTAGAGGGCATATAAAGTTGTCTCAAAAACAATTGAAGGCATTCAAATGCACCTCTAAATTAGACTTTTAGAGACACTTGTAACTACCTCTATACAGGACTTGTAGCGTTGGTGCAATAAAGGCAGTCATATGTGCCTCTAAAAGTCCAATTTAGAGGTAGTCGTATGTGGAATGCCAAGACATGTAATTTTCATTAGTTTTTGGTGTAGGGCAACTGATGGTTAAGTAGTTCATCGGCTTAACCCCGTAAATAATCTGCTTTCTCAAGTGAACAACACCAAGTAAAATGGTTCGCTAATTAGCCAAGTTGCCTGCACAAACAATCAAATCAATGAGGATGCGCCCTACAACTTGCAGGGCATTTTCTGATATGCAATGCATCATAAGTGAATGGAATGGACCATCTTCTTTGAATAGCAACTTGCAACCATCCAAATATGCATGGGCCTAAACATTGTTATAACAACCCGTTTCAAAACCCATTCAAGATAAACAGGGAAGGGGGGCAAATGAAATAACTAAATAACGGTCAGACTTATGTCTGAGTCAGATTACTCATCAATTTGGAACCAGAAAACATTCGCCTTTAACCATAGTGTACTTCGTATCCAAATAACCAACTCAATGAAACTGGCATCAACTTAATTATTATAAACAAAATTGTTACAAGTAATCATTGTTCCAGAGAAACCCCGAAAGAGCAATACTCCTGAAAACCTGAATAAGACCAGCCAAAGCTCACTTAGGCTTATGGAGCAGTTTGAGTGGCAGAAGTAATTTTTTCTTCTGGCAAAAATGGAATTGGCTTGGTTGGGGCAGGCAGGCGCCCTATGCTATCAACCTTGTCCCGCTGCTTTGGTGGAGGCCTGGCTGGTCTTGGCAGTAGACGCCCCTTCTTCTCAAACCACTCAGGCTTCAGTAATGCACGGAAACCCAATTTGTTATAATGAACTCTCCTTACAGATCCACCAGCTTCTTCAACTGCTGCCTTCGCCCTAGCTGTCACCCTTGACACCTGCACCACCCATAGCACCATATGCACATCAGCATGGTTGTACTTAGCATGCAGAAAGTAGTGTGCCTTTATTTTTCCAATCAATTAGTAATAATGGAATAATAATTGTATATTTTCATTTGTCTGTCAAAGAGGGTGAACCTAAATTTGTTATTTTTTTTCCGAAAAATGCTTGGATTAATGGTGCCTTGTGGCCTAACAAGCTTTGCTCAATTGGATGTTCAATGTTGCTAAGGCCATTTTTGGGAGTGCTTATGTTAAAAATAAGTGCTTATTAGATAAGTACTTAAAAACAAGTGCTTATTCAAATAAGCACTTATTTGTTTTCAAGTGCTTATTTTAAAAAATAAGTACTTATTTCATATTGGGCGTTTGGTAGTCTTTTTCTCCAATAATCACTTATATAAGCATTTCTGAGTATTTTGTCCTTCATTTTCTTTCAAATTTTACGAAAGCACTTTTATAAAAGTACTTTTATGAAAGCACTTTTACAAAAGTACTTTTATAAAATTCAATTAGGGATGGTTTTATAAGTGACTTTTTAAAATTCAACTAGGGATAATTTTGGAAGAAAAAATTGAATAAGTGCTTATTGTATAAGCACTTAAAAAAAAAACTGGAAATTTGGGCTTAAAAAATAAGCCCTTATTTTTAAAAAAAGCACTTACTTCGGACTTATTTCACAAACACCAATAAGTGCTTAATGGTGTGGTTCCGGCCCAAATAAACACTTATTTTTGAGCACTCCCAAACATGGCCTAAGTGTTCTTTGCAATCAACTGTATTGACCAATCAGTGTAGAGAAAACATACTACAGGACTAGTTCAGGTTTAATTAAATTTTGAGAATCAAACAATTGATCAAATACTGATAAGAAAAGCAGTTAGAATACGTAGGTCTTTACTAGGATATGCATCAACCTTATTTAACATTAACAATCAAGAAGATTTGTAATGAAAAAATGATAAGATAGGGGAAAAAAGATGTACAAGATGGACACTGACCAAAAAGATCATCAAAACTGTTCAAAAGTTGTTCGAGTGGCATTGGCACAGCTATACAAGTGTTATGGGCCCGGGCGTAGGATCTCATCACAGGTCGGTCCACGGGGAGAACCTCTAGTTTCCCCTTGCCTCTCCCTTTGCGTGCCGACCCTATCGTGGCGACCTAAGGGGTGATTTGTCCAAGAGATCACCCTAATAATAGTGGCTCCTTAAATAGGAGATTACAAGAGTCCTACTCTTAGGGAGACTCCTTGCTGAATAGGGAGACCTCGAACTCTATATTGATAAGATAAGACTGATAAGATAAGTCTTTCTTAATCCTAATCTAATAAGATAAGATAATCTCTCTTAATCCTAATCTAATAAGATAAG